GCTCCCACCAGCCCCCAGCCAACATGACCAGGGGTCAGTGGTTACGGGAATTGCAGTTCAGCAACATCTGGGAGGTCATAAGTTTTAAAAAGCAAATGTTTGTGGCCTTCTATTGTAATATTGTATCACATTATTATTATTATTATTATTATTATTATTATTATTATTACTATTACTACAACTACTACAACTACTTGATCCACCTTGTATTGTCCATCTTCCTGTGGAACTGTAGTACATAGTGCTGCTGTTACATTCATGGGAGTTACAGAATGGCATTTTCCAGGAAGTTCCTGATCAAACCTAGGAGCATATATTTGCATATGTACATTACTTCATTTCTCATGATCCCTGGAAACTGAATAGGTGAACTGCCTCCACTGAAAAGGATTACACATGTGAACCAACCCTTAGTTTTCAAAAGAAGCCTGTGTTGTCATATAACTTGGGATGCCAGCTTTATAGGATACATGGATGGAATCCACATAGATAGAATCATAGAGTTGGAATAGACCACAAGGGCCATCGAGTCCAACCCCCTGCCAAACAGGAAACACCATCGGAGCACTCCTGACATATGGTTGTCAAGCCTCTGCTTAAAGACCTCCAAAGAAGGAGACTCCACCACACTCCTTGGCAGCAAATTCCACTGTCGAACAGCTCTTACTGTCAGGAAGTTCTTCCTAATGTTTAGGTGGAATCTTCTTTCTTGTAGTTTGGATCCATTGCTCCGTGTCTGCTTCTCTGGAGCAGCAGAAAACAACCTTTCTCCCTCCTCTATGTGACATCCTTTTATATATTTGAACATGGCTATCATATCACTCCTTAACCTCCTCTTCTCCAAGCTAAACATGCCCAGCTCCCTTAGCCGTTCCTCATAAGGCATCGTTTCCAGGCCTTTGACCATTTTGGTTGCCCTCCTCTGGACACGTTCCAGTTTGTCAGTGTCCTTCTTGAACTGTGGTGCCCAGACCTGGACACAGTACTCCAGGTGAGGTCTGACCAGAGCAGAATACAGTGGCACTATTACTTATGATACTGGATAAAATAGGGTGTCCTCAATTGCTCACTTTGTGTAATCTGGCTAGGAGGTAAAAGACCCTGGTCATAGCTCCTGGGGTTTGAAAGTTTCCAACTATGGGAGGTGTTTCTTCACTAAGGTGACATCGTTATTTCTGGCACTGCTGAAATTTTTTCACTAAGCTCCCCATCTGTAGTCAGTTCCCTTTTTTATGACAGGAGTCCCTCTTTTACCTGCTTGTTTTATTACTATTTTGAAAAAAGGGAAGGTGTAAGAGTTAGTTAAAGGGGTCCCTTAACAGATTCAAATCTAGATCAACAGTAGAAGAGCAACAAATAGGAAGTCACTGGACAGGTGGCTAAAATTAAATCAGTAACTCAATTTGAAAGATCCCAAAATGCATTAGGAGTTATTCTGTGTTCCATATTAAAGCTTTGCTGTTACACAAAAAGAAGCAGTTGGACGTGTTAGCGTCTCCTATCACACGGCTGGTTCCTCTAATTCGGTAGATGCCTGACCTCATCAACAGTTCTGTCAAGCTGGAAAAGACAAAATAACCAACATTCTGGCTCTCTATCAGGACTGCAAATAATATATGTTAAGGGGTCCTAAATGTATGTATTTCCATTAATAATACATGTTGATTTGGACTGGTGAAATCAAAGCAGTTCCAAAGGTGGGTTTTAAGTAGCACAAAATCACCCTCCAATTTCAGAAGATTGTTAAATCATTATTGAATCATTAAGCAAGTATATTATCCATGCTGGTGCCAAATAAGCATGGAATACTCAAAACAATACTTAATTGGACTAAATGCACTGTTTAAAATATGCAAAGCCAGCTGAGTTAATTGGGTTAGAGTTTGGTCAACCCAGATAAGAGAGCTCATCACCATTTAAATAATGCTTCATTTGGGAGGCTTCGCATACCTAGGAGGGAGGCTCGGGCTGTTGGGCACCACTTCCCAAAGGCTCACCAACAGGAAAGACAAATAGACGGGAGCATTGAGCTCTTTATCTGTGTCTGTGCCTGCCAGGAGGTTAGAGCTCCAATCACCTGGGACACACGGACGCAAACCTCTGCATATCCCTCCAGCCCAGAACCAGCTCTGAGCTATTTTATTTATTTTATTGCTTTATTTATTAGATCTTTACCTTTTTTATCTTGCCCAGGGAAACCCAAAGCGACTTACAACCTAACAGATGGACAGTAAACCCCACATAGATACATTAAAGCCAAGAGGAAAGAGATATACATTAAAGACATCCCCACCCACTTCTAAAAGGCCAAAGACCTGGTTATAGAGGAAAGTTTTTGCCCTGTACCTAATGATGGCAGCAGGTGAGCCTCCCTGGGGAGAGCATTCAAGCAGTGTTAGAAAGAAATATAAGCTAGGTGCCAAATGGTTCCTTAAACCAGGGTTAGACTTGCCAAAACAGAATGACTAGTTACCATTTGGGGGCCATTTTTCACTACGACTTTTTGGTCCCTGGATTGTGCAGATAAAATAAAACTGATGGAATTCTACAGGATGTGGTATTAGTGTGTATAAACAGTCAAGATCCAAGGATCCCCAGGCATGCACCTCCAGATGGTGGAGATGTCATCCTGATGCCTGGGCATCTTCACTTGGTCATAAACTGGCTGTTACATAGGAGCAGTCCTGGCACAAGGTATATCTAGTGTGTTCCTAACTGTGGCAAGGCATATGCCTCCAGAAAGTTCCATAGACAGATATGAAGGCAATACCCCTCTGTCACTCAGCTACTGGTACTCAGCTGTATAGGTTCCATGGCTTATAACCATGGATAGATCTATCTGCCATGGATTTGTCTTCTATTAAGACTGTGATGAACATCCTGTGGCTGCGAGTTCCATACATGAATTTTGTATTAGGTGAAGTACCGTATTTTTCATTCTATAAGATGCACTTTTCCCCTCCTAAAAAGTAAGGGGAAATGTGTGTGCATCTCCTGGAGGTGGGAGGCTCTGATCAGCGCTCCCTTTAAAGAGCGCTCCCTTCCGAGGAGGGAGAAGGAAAAGCCCCCAAGAGCCGCACACACACTCCGCGCGCTTTTTAAAGGGAGCGCAGCTCTTGGGGGAGCCTTCCTCCCCCTGCACACGGCTATCCCATAAACCAGGACAGCGCAGCGATCCCGCTTGCTTTTCTGGCTTCTGGCTTAGCTGCGCTCAGCCTCTTCCGGGCAGGGGGAGCCTTCATCCCGCTGCCCGGGAGAGGCTGCGCACGGCTGTCCCATAAGCCAGGACAGCAAGAGGCTATCCCAGAAGCCAGATCCCTCTTGCTGTTCTGGATTCTGGGATTCAGAATTCTTTTTCTTCTTGCTTTTCTCCTTCAAAAACTACCGTATTTTTCGCACCATAGGACGCACTTTTTCCCTCCTAAAAAGCAAGGGAAAATGTGTGTGCGTCCTATGGAGTGAATGCAGGCTTTCGCTGAAGCCTGGAGAGTGAGAGGGGTCAGTGCGCACCGACCCCTCTCGCTCTCCAGGCTTCAGGAAGCTATCCGCTAGCCGTGGGAGACCCAGCTCTCCCACAGCTAGCGGAGCGCTGCATTAATCCCGAAGCTTGGGGCGTGCGGAGCTCAGCGCACCCCAAGCTTCTGGGTGCTGGCAAGGTATCCGCTAGCCGTCTAGCGGAGACCTTGCCGGCACCCAGAAGCTTGGGGCGCGCTGAGCTCCACACGCCCCAAGCTTCGGGATTAGCGCTCCGCTAGCCGTGTCTAGGCTGCGGATAGCAGCCTGCTTCCCGGAGCGTCGGGCACCCTGAAAGCAGAGCGCCCGGCGCTTTGGGAACACATCCGCAGCGTGGGGAGCCTTGCAGGAGTTCCCCACAGGGCTCCCCACACTGCGGATAGCAGCCTGCTGCCCGGCGGGTGGGGCGCCCTGAAGCAGAGCGCCCCTCGCGCCGGGCAGACATCCACAGCGTGCGGAGCCTTGCAGGAGTTCCCCACAGGGCTCCCCACGCTGCGGATAGCAGCCTGCTGCCCGGCGGGTGGGGCGCCCTGAAGCAGAGCGCCCCTCGCGCCGGGCAGACATCCGCAGCGTGCGGAGCCTTGCAGGAGTTCCCTGCAGGGCTCCCCACGCTGCGGATAGCAGCCTGCTGCCCGGCGGGTGGGGCGTCCTGAAGCAGAGCGCCCCTCGCGCCAGGCATACATCCGCAGCGTGCGGAGCCTTGCAGGAGTTCCCCGCAGGGCTCCCCACGCTGCGGATAGCAGCCTGCTGCCTGGCAGGTGGGGCCCACTGAAGCAGAGCGCCCCGCATGCCAGGCAGACATCAGCCAGCCCCACAAGCTCGGGGGACAGCAGGGAGGCGCAGCGCCACTATCCCGCTGTTCCTCGACCTGGTTCGGTTTCCCTGACCTGCTTTTGGGGCGGAAATAAAGGGGAAAATTTTTTCCTTTATTTCCCCCCAAAAAAACTAGGTGCGTCCTATGGTCCGGTGCGTCCAATCGTGCGAAAAATACGGTAGGTGCGTCTTATGATCTGGTGCGTCTTATAGAGCGAAAAATACGGCACTTGGTTTTATCTGCCCTGAATCTAATGGATGACCCTGATTTCTGTTGTTATGACCGTGAGAAAAAATTGTCTCCATTCACTTTTTGCAAATGGCATCATTTAGTAAATTTGTGTTGTGTGTCCTTTTAATCATATTTTCCAAACTAAGAAGCCCCAAGTGCTTTAGGCTTTCCTTTTAGGGAAGGTGCTCCCTCCAGCCTTTTGAACAGTTTCTTTGTACTTTTCTACACGTTGTCCAGCTCTGTGCTTTTCTTTTTGAAATGGGGTGGCTAGAAGTGTACACAGTCCTGCTTCGCAGCCTCTTTGGGACCACAAAACATGAGTTTAGTCAAGCATCTAGTAGTACATTTGGATGGGTTGTTTTTGGCTTGGAAGATCACAAGTTGGCCCATATTTGTCCATTTATCTAAAATAATTATCCTGTGTTTTTTTCTTATGCCGCAGACTAAAGGATCTTCAAGTGTATCAGCATCAGGAATGCAAAAGAAGGTCAAGAGGACTCTACCCAACCCACCTCCAGAAGATGTTGCAGTAGGGACACAATCTGCCTTCACCACTGTGGGATCAGTTTCACGCCGGAGGATCTGTAGAAGCAATACCATGGCCAGAGCTAAAATCCTCCAGGATATAGACAGAGAACTGGATCTGGTAGAAAGAGAGTCAGCCAAGCTTCGGAAAAAGCAAGCAGAGTTAGATGAGGAAGAGAAAGAAATAGATGCAAAACTTCGGTATCTAGAGATGGGCATCAATCGGCGGAAAGAGGCATTGCTAAAAGAACGAGAAAAGAGGGAGCGTGCCTATCTTCAAGGTGTAGCAGAGGAACGCGACTATATGTCTGACAGTGAGGTTAGCAGCACCAGGCCCACGAGAATAGAATCTCAGCATGGCTTGGAAAGGCCAAGGACTGCACCCCAAACAGAATTTGACCAGTTTATCCCCCCACAAACCCAACCAGAAACGCAGTTTGCAACTCCTACGAGTCCTTATACTCAGTATCAGTACTCTTCGCCTGCCCTTCCCACTCAAGCACCAACTCAGTACTCCCAGCCGTCTCATTACCAGCAGCAGCAACCTTTATATCAGCAGCAGGTTTCTCCTTACCAGACCCAGTCAGCATTCCAAACTGTGGCAACCATGTCTTTCACGCCACAGGCTCAGCCTCCACCAACCCCACAGCCTTCCTACCTTTCCTCACAGCTAATGGTGATCCCACAGAAAACAAGGCAGGCTTCGTTATATCTGGAGCCTAAGATAACAACGAACTATGACGTGATTCGCAACCAGCCTCTCATGATAGCCCCTGCATCTTCTGACAACACATATGTCGTGTCCCATTTGGGTAGTAAATACAGTACCTTGGACTTAAGGATGGGGCTCGATGAGAGGAGCAGCATGGCCAGTAGTCCCATCTCGAGCATATCTGGTGACTCCTTCTATGCAGATATTGACCACCATGCGCCACGTAATTATGTGCTGATTGATGATATTGGAGACCTCACTAAAGGGACATCAGCTCTGAGCTCTGCTTATGGTCTACATGAGAAGGATCTGACCAAAACTGATCGGCTGCTTCGAACTACTGAGGCGCGAAGAGTGCAAGAAGTCTCGGATTTCCTCGCACCGCTGCAGACTTCTTCTCGGTTGCACAGCTACATGAAAACTGATGACGATCCCATGGAAGACCCTTATGAACTGAAGCTGCTGAAGCATCAGATCAAGCAGGAGTTCCGAAGGGGGGCTGAAAGCTTGGATCACCTGGCAGGCCTTTCACAGTATTACCATGCAGATACTAGCTACAGACATTTCCCCAAATCTGAGAAATATAGCATAAGCAGGCTTACCTTAGAGAAGCAAGCTGCCAAACAGCTTCCAGCCGCCCTTCTTTACCAGAAGCAGTCAAAGCATAAGAAGGCCTTGATTGACCCCAAATTATCTAAATTTTCGCCCATTCAGGAAAGCAGGGACCTTGAGCTTGATTATTCAACCTACTTGACTTCAAGCACATCATCTCTTGGCGGCATTGCTTCCAGAGCAAGGCTCCTCCAAGATGATATAACGTTTGGCCTTCGAAAAAATATCACAGACCAGCAGAAGTATATGGGGCCAAATCTCTCACATTCTCTTGGCACAAGCCTTGGGGCTGCACTGAGTACAACAATGAGATCCACACTACATGATGACTCTGACAAATCTTACAGCAGTGGCAGTAGATCCAGACCTTCTTCCCGACCGTCATCCGTCTATGGGCTTGATTTATCGCTAAAAAGAGATTCTTCAAGCTCATCTTTAAGACTGAAGGCCCAAGAGGCTGAACCCCTAGACGTTTCCTTCAGTCACGCAGCCCCCTCTGGAAGAACTAAACCCACGAGTCTACCCATAAGTCAGAGCAGGGGCCGAATCCCAATAGTAGCGCAGAATTCAGAAGAAGAGAGTCCCTTAAGTCCTGTGGGTCAGCCAATGGGAATGGCAAGAGCAGCAGCCGGGCCATTGCCACCTATATCCGCAGACACTAGGGACCAGTTTGGATCAAGCCATTCATTGCCCGAAGTCCAGCAGCATATGAGGGAAGAATCACGAGCTCGAGGCTATGACCGGGATATAGCCTTCATCATGGACGACTTCCAGCACGCCATGTCAGACAGTGAAGGTAAACTAGACTTCAGACTGCTTTATCGCTCCCACAACACAAATCCTCATTTCTATGCATGTGTCTGATTTCATAATCTTTCGGGGACTAATTCTTCTTCTTTTCTTTTTTTTGCATTATTTTTCTGTCTGTGTGTATATATATATGTACGTATGTGTGTGTATATAGATAGATATTCTTTTCATTTGGTCGGCTGATTTAACTCTGTGCTCAGATTCTGGATGGGTACATAGATAGACTTGCATGTTCCAGTTGTATTTATTTTTTCTTTTAGTTTGCGTGTGCACTTTTTTGCACTCCACTTTTGTTATATGTATTTTGGCTGGGATTTTCAGAAGCAATAATTCAGGATTGGTTTGTCTTCTTCCATTGTGTTTAGTGGAATAAGCCTCCGCTAAAATCAAGAGAGCCTGAAAATACCACCCAAAATAAAGATAGTCTTCATAAAACTGTGACCCATCCTTTTGTTAATGTGAAAAGATCTTCTGTGCAATAAGCTTGCTGCAAATCTTCAGCAATCCAAAAATTTCCAAGAGCCATAGAGCACAGTTTACAAACAAAATCCTTTATGAAAGTAATTCCCTTATATATTTCAAATCATTGTTTTAATCCCCGATGGAATCATGGGTAGAAGCAATATTGTTATGATGGGGTATTGTATTTTTAGAGACTTCGTTACTGCGCCTTTATAATTGCATCTTCGTAAAGTGTATGCTGTTATGTATGGATTTTTGTAAATTCAAAGTATGATGATATGATATTGTTCAGATGTCAGGGTCATTAGCTTCCCCAGTAAACTTTTCTCATTAAACTTTCACAGATAACTTCAATGCTATCCATATGTATAAATGACCCTATATAAACTATAACCTGTACCTCAGACATATAAGCATGTTTTTTAAGTGATTCTATTCATGTGTGGTTATTACATATGGTGTTCCAAGTATTGGGATGAGTCTGAGAGGAGGAAGCAGGTAGGATGGAACAGGAGAATCTAGGATGGGAAACCACTTTTTAAAAGAAAATAATAAAAGTCCCAAGTAAATGTTCCAAGTACGTGGTGGGTTGGGAAGTCTATAGGCAACTGCACAAGCCTATCTCACACAGATGCACACAAAGGTGTTTTTTTCTATAAAAAAAGAAAACAAAAAAGAAATACTAAATGTTACTTTTTAAAAAGCAAAGAAAAATGTTATGCTGATGTTAAATATTAAACTGTAAGTTGTGTATCAGCATTGTTGGAATTGAGTAAAGTTTATAACATGTTTTAATACTGTTTCAGAAGCCATTTCAAAAAGACATTTTGAAAGTTAATGAATTTTACACGTTTTCTTTGTATGTGCTCTGTTGAGTTTTTGTGCATATTGTCCAATAAAAATACACTGCATGCCCTGTTGTGTTTGCTAATAGCCGTGATTACTGTGGAAGAAATACTTGCTGAAGTTACTCCCTTCACACTTTCTTATCTACTTCAGTACCATTACTTCCTTCCTTCAGTTCACTCTGAAAATAGAATCATAATAGATGTGAATATTTGATATAAAGCTTTTCCCCTCCGAATTACCTGGAATTTGCCCCATCTCACCGAAGTATAAAACAGGAGGTTGGATCTAGAGAAAGTTAGTTGCATTTAAATCCCATTGAGATCAACAGTACTTAAGTTAGCCATGACATATGCTTTTGCACCAATTTCAAGGGTACCTAAATTTGGTTTACACTACAGTCCAATATTCACTGACCTGGGAGTAAGTCCCATTGTATTCAGTACTGTAGATACTTACTTTTGAGTAGAGCTTTTCGGAGAGTGTTTTAATTTGCTCTGGATCCGATACATGTTCTTCAGATTTACATATTTTTTTTTGGTTTCTACTTTTTGTGGTTACTTAAAGCTTATGCGTTCTTACTTTAAAAGTTGTCTAAAACTTCCATTAAGGGAGTGGAGGGAGGGTATGTATAATTTAACATACCCTGCTGGAACCATGCCTATTCGTCTTTAAGATCCAAAGTTTGTCTACAGTCTCAGTTTGCTCCATTGAACATTCCACTTTTCTTTTCATTCCTGAGTTCTTCAAGCCTTTAAATCATTTTTTCTTCATAAAGGGAGCAATAACTGCTAGCAGTCCAGAGAAAACAAAGGAATGAGATAACAGACTGACTGAAGTAAAAGAGGAATTGAATCTATTTTTGTAACCCCAGCCCTCAAAAAAAAAAAATTACTCTAGCCACTCTCACCAAAATATCCTAGGTTTTCATATTCTGTAACTCATAAATACATGCTCTCTCTATATAAGGTCATAAAGAAGCATAACACCTACATGGCACACACATAACACTTTTTTTCTGAAATGAAACATGGCCCTTTGACCATTGTTCTTGTTTCACAGTTGTCAAATATGCTAGCATGTAGAGCCCACTGGAATTTTAAGTCATCTTTGCTCCAGCAATCCTTTTCATGAAACAACAAACATTTGCATCCACATCATTGACACCTTTGCTTGTTTTGTATGAGAACTGCAACTCTGCTTTATTTCTATGGCTGGGGTTTATGGGTTAACTCCATAGCAGGGAGTGGAAACTGTATCCATGCTATATCAGGAGCAGCACCAGAACTCCAGGAATCATGAAATGGTAATATCAAACTCATTATGTGAAAGCGTTATTAGCAAAAAGTAGCCCATAAATTATTTCACTTCAAGTAATGCTATACGGATCATACTGATCAAGCAAAAAAAAAAGTTTCTTTATATGCATGAATATACCGTATTTTTTGCTTTATAAGACTCACTTTTTCCATCCTAAAAAGTAAGGGGAAATGTGTGTGCGTCTTATGGAGCGAATGCAGGCTGCGCAGCTATCCCAAAAGCCAGAACAGCAAGTGGAATCGCTGCTTTCGCTGGGCAGCGATCCCTCTTGCTGTTCTGGCTTCTGGGATTCAGAATTTTTTTTTTCTTGTTTTCCTCCTCCAAAAACTAGTGGTCTTATGGTCTAGTGCGTCTTATACAGCGAAAAATACGGTACTTTAAATTACCGTGTTGCTATGTCTGGAGACAGATGTATATGACAGGAACCATAGATTCTGAAAGTTGTTAAGAAAGGAGATACAATTCCCTAAATGAACATTTTAAGAACGTGTCATTGCATTTAACCAGTGTGATCTTCTAGTTAAAAATGTCTTTAAGCAGATTAGAATTTATGGCTTCATGCACATTCACAGAAAACAAAGGCATTTGGAAAATACCTAAAGTGCAACATGCAAAACTGCTGGTTGAGAAGCCTCTACGTTCTTACTGTTGCACCTCCTAAACTTTCAGAGGCCAACTTTTGTAGAGTCAGTTCACATATGAGGAAGAGTACCAGTGACTAAGGGTGTTGCATTTGATTTTATCTTTACAAAAATACAGAAGCAATGAGTATCAGGCAAGCACCCAAGACAGAGATTGTGCTAGTCCTTAAAGCAGCATCAGTTCCACAAAAAAGCAAAGATAAGGCATTGTTTGGTGCCTCCAAGGCTGCTACTTGCCAGCTGCTGCCACAGTTCCTCATTTACCCCTGCATTCTAACTTTGAAATCATTTCACCAAAGTCCTCTACCCAATCAGATGAGGTATGCTCCATAGCTATAAGCAGCAGCCACCAAAAACCATGGGATAAATTGTGCCATCTCTTAGAAGATTTTTGTTCTGCCTTTTTCATATCCTGTAACACTACTATTTCAAAATTAGTAATGTTAGGGTTGTATTGTTAGTAACATTAGTACTGTAGCCTAGCGAGTTTGAAAAGTTCAATCTCCTGGAGTTCATACAAAGGATAATCCCTTATTCAAAAGTTTGAAGTTCATCCTGGTTTAGGGGATATGACGACAAATTGAATGCTAAGTCTTCTACAGCTGCCGTCTATGATAAATTCTCCATTTTTGTTCTTACTAAGTATGAAACGATGCAGTTCAAGAGATTTCATCTACCAATTTGAGGTGCTTATAGCAATTAGTGTAATTGTCACACAGGAGATATCACTCTCTATTTTCACACGAGAGTTTCGCACCAGGGAAGAGCTTGTGTGCCACAGTCAATCTGTACTCCTAACTTGCTTTGAATGTTCAAATGCAGCAACCAATGGAGGGTGGAGTGACCATTGCAGGAGATAGGGGAAGCTGATGATTGATTAGATCTTCTGGGCATCTCCCAAGAATTAAGCTCTTAAAGACAGCGGATCCTCATCTGAGTGGAAATTTGGCAAGCCTATGATGAAAGGATCTTGTAAGGTTTAACCGGATCATCTAATTTGCATGCAGAAGGTCCCAGGGACTGAACATCTGGCATCTCCAGGTCAGGCAAGGAAAGACACCCTGTTTGAAACCTATAGGGACTGTGGGTCTGATTAAGGATAAGGTAGTTTCATGTGCTCCTGTGTTATTGATTTAAATTTATACAATGGTGCCGTAGGCTGAAGATGTTAAAAAAAAATTAAAACATTAAAAATACACATTTATTTTATTTTGACCATTTATAGACTGCTTAATTACAAGTGTATCTAATTGGTATGCAATTATTAACAAGTGCAATATAGGTCAAATCAGTTCAAAACTAAATATAAAATCTGAAGTGACTTAAAGTGTCTGCTGAGATAAGAACCTGCCTGCTACTAACCTGCTTTAAAGAGTCTTGCATCTCTTCTGGCAAATCTCCAGACTCAGATTTTTGTGGACGTGAAGATGGAGAGCAATTCAGAACTGGGAAAAGTCTACCAAGAATGATTCTGTGCGCACCTTTATTTCTCATACGGCCAAACACTTGATTGACAGAATTAATTTGATTCGGTGTTGGTCACTTGTTCTGTATTTTACATGTTTTATTGTATATTACCACGATATTTTTTAATGAGTTGGTGGTTTATAAACACTTAAATAAATAAATAAATAAAATATATAAGGCGAGACAGTGATGGAACTGAGAGTCCATAAGGAGTGGTGCAAAGGGTTTCATGAAACGACCTGCTAAGAGGAAACACCTCAGAAACATATTCCAATGGAGTATTTCAGGAACCAAACAAGCCCAGATAAATTGTTATGGCATTCTGACATATCTGCAAAGGGTCCGCGGTCAACAAGGCTGGGTCTTCTCTGTCACTTTCTACTAACCTGAGTTTGTCTGCTTCCACTCTTGCCTGCTACTTTTGCTTTAAAATGCATGGCCAATTATTAACTGCTATATGCATGTTGACTGCGCACACCAGACTATTGCTCTTCTCACATCTCTGGCTCAGAACCTATGACGTGTCCTTGGTTTTCAAAGCCTACCACCTGCGCCGGGAAGAAACGGATTGGTTCGACAAGCCCCGGGAGTCTCGTTTGGAGAACGGACACGGTTTTGACCGAAGACTACCAGACAAGCTAGCTCACTCGAGGCCACCAAGTCAGCATCAAGACCAAGTAAGGAGGCTATGTTTTTAAGCATTGATGTTTTTAAGAAGATTCATGAGTCATACCATCTCTCATAGCTTACAATAGACAGGCCACTCAATTTGTCAAAATGAGGTTTCAGAAAATTCCACCCTTACTCTAGAATACCAGTGCTCATTGTAAAGACAAAGGCAAATATTGTTATGTGCAGCCCCAATTCTTTGAAAATTGAGAACTCTGGGGTGCAGTACTTACTTGGGTACATTTTCCTTTGTAATGAACAAAGGACATACATGGGGAGATACAGTTTAACTGCATGGTATGTCCCTAAGCGGGACGCGGGTGGCGCTGTGGGTAAAACCTCAGCGCCTAGGACTTGCCGATCGTCAGGTCGGCGGTTCGAATCCCTGCGGCGGGGTGCGCTCCCGCTGCTCGGTCCCAGCACCTGCCAACCTAGCAGTTTGAAAGCACCCCCGGGTGCAAGTAGATAAATAGGGACCGCTTACTAGCAGGAAGGTAAACGGCGTTTCCGTGTGCTGCGCTGGCTCGCCAGATGCAGCTTGTCACGCTGGCCACGTGACCCGGAAGTGTCTGTGGACAGCGCTGGCTCCCGGCCTATAGAGTGAGATGGGCGCACAACCCTAGAGTCTGTCAAGACTGGCCCGTACGGGCAGGGCTACCTTTACCTTTATGTCCCTAAGCTCAGTGCTTTGTCAATACATTCCCTCGTCCGGTGAAAATATTCATGAAACCTCACCCACACACCTTTTCGTTCAGTGCTACCTGGGATGGGAGTATTTTTAGGGGTACCAATGAAGCAGCAATGTGACCTTAGAAGCATGTGTTAGGACAGCCTTTTCAATACTCATAAGGGGATCTGAGAATTGTTTCCAGCATCCTTTGGCACTGCAAGGGATTATGGTATGTTGATAGAATTATGTATCTTAGATCAGCTGTGATTCCACATTGCATCTCTTGGGGGTTCAAGAGTTCACAGACTCATTAGGGATCCAGTCTGCTTTGCAGACATGGACCAACTCCTGCGGGCTTTTCTCATATCTAAATAACACATTACATAAATGCATCCTATGTGTGGTTTGTATGTCTTGCAATATAGGACCACTATCCATGACACAGGTGTATAATCATGAAGCATATGAGATACATTTGCAGATTACATTTGGCTGGAATGGAAAAACAGTGGCTGGGAATTAAAAAACAATCTGTTTGAGGGCAGTGGTTTTCACACATTGTCATGACCTGTAGCTACAGCTACTGTGTAGTGGAAAGGTGTGACTCACAATTCCAGGTAAATTGTATTGTGCACTTGCAGTCTGTACCCTTCAGATGGGAGCCAATGAAATAAACCAGCTGGTCTAGGGTCAGCTAGGCAATTATCTCCCATGAAAGGGAGTAAAAGTCTCAGTATTTGCCATAGCAACCTCATATCAAATTGATTCAAGAGACAGGAAAGTGGGCTGCAACCCTATACACATTCTGAAGTTAATATACGTTTGAGTAAACGTAGATGGGATCCCACTTTTCATCATTTTAAGAATGACTGCTTGCACAATGAGGATAGAATAAATAGGATAGAATTCTGTCCTGGACAAATATTTGTTATATGAGTACAGAAGAGTACCCACAATATACACTGTGTGTGAGAGAGCAAGAGACAAAGACTCATGGGAGCTGGAAAAATGCAATGTCAAAGAAACCAAATCTCAGTTCTAACTTGTAGAATTGTATTAACTTAGACTGCATGCAACCCAGTGAAGCAAGAAGCTTCTGTATGCAACTGATTTGGTCCAAAGGTAATCTGAGGAGACAACTTAAGTAGATAGACTTTTGCTGCCACCTGAGGTGCAGATGGAATTTTTGACTGGGACTCCAAACCCCGTGTCTCACCTACAATATTCATCGTGGACTGCACTGCAGGGCTCATCAACTACTCTCCCTAAGCGGAGCTCCCTGTCAGCAATAGGGAATAATAGTGTATCACACTGCAGGCGTCTTCTCTACTATTCTGTCAGCTTCAGGCCAAACCAATCCCAAACCTATAATAAGGGTTTCTCTTGACACTTCAAAACGTCATTGTAAACCCCTAAGAGCTTGACTTCAGTAAACCGTGCTGAAGTTCTGTTTTCAGTTCTGTTATAAGCGGGTGGCACTGTGGTCTAAACCACCGAGTCTCTTGGGCTTGCTGATCAGAAGATCGGCAGTTCGAATCCCCGCAACAGGGTGGGCTCCCGTTGCTCTGTCCCAGCTCTTGCCAACCTAGCAGTTCGAAAGCACGCCAGTGCAAGTAAATAAATAGGTACCACTGTGGCGGGAAGGTAAATGGCATTTCCATGTGCTCTGGTTTCTCTCATGATGTTCCGTTGCACCAGAAGCGGTTTGGTCATGTTGGCCACATGACCTGGAAAGCTGTCTGTGAACAAACACCAGCTCCCTCAGTCTGAAAGCGAGATGAGCGCTGCACTCCATACTCATCTTTGACTGGACGTAACCGTCCAGGGGTCCTTTACCTTAAGCAAGTCTGTTCTGGCCAAACCCCCTGCAGAAGACAATGCAGTATGAGAACAATGAATTGCATTTTCTTTGGAATTTGTATCAACTAAATTATGTCATCTGCTTTGTTTATATCTGTGTGCCTCTTTCTCCATTTCCATCTGGGAGAAAAAATAGAGGATGAGACACTGAAGTGTAACTGCCCACTTTCCAGTCTCCTCCTTACCTCCTCTGTGCTTTTTTATTTGTCTCAGCTAACATTGGTGGAAAAATTAAAATCAGTTCACATATAAAAGTGAACCTACGTAATCCAAACTTTCCAAAATTGTAGCTCTGTGAGGGGTTTTGTTGGAAGCCTCCCAGAATGACTGGGGCAGCCCTGTCAGATGGGCAGGGTATAAGAAATATTATTATTATTATTATTATTATTATTATTATTATTACTACTACTAATAATAATAATAATAATAATACTACACAGCCATCCTTTGAGCTTCCTACTTCCTAATATTTTGCAATGCAGTTACCCAGCCAAGTAATGTGAACAAAAACGCATATACTGAGATAAAGTGTGCATAGAAATGCATAAGTTAATAAAATAGCATTAAGAATGCATTATATTACAGAAAACTGCTTTGCAAAAACAAGCATTAAGCTAAATCACATGCAGAAATGTATACATGGGGAGGGAGAATTGCGCTACAATGCTGGTGAATTTTCATGACTTTTTTATTTTTTTAAAAAAGCATTGATATGGAAACGTGGAAAACTGAGGAACTGACAGGAACTGAAATGGACAGATTTGCCCATTCCTCCTCTCAGTGGGCTTCTCCTGCTCAGCTGCCAGCTGTTCAGCAATGCTTTGAAGCCTCCAGGCTGTTGGGTCTCCTCTTCAATAACCACTTCCTTTGCCCCAACTGACTCCATGTTCTGTGGCTACTGAGCATGCTTGTGGCTGGATTGCGCCATTTAGCCTACACGGAACCAGCCCAGCCATTAGGTGGGGTGAAGCTGCCACTGCCACCGCCACCGCCACCTCAGGTGGCACCAATTTTCAGGGAGAGCTTGTGAGGTTTCACTGGAAATCTGTGGGATCTTGCCAGAAGTTGGTGCTGGTGCCACTTCTCTGCCACCAAGAGGAGTAGAGTAGGGCAGCAATTCCTGTTTCACCCCAAGCAGCGAAACAGGATGCCAAGGGCCTGGGCCTGTATCGGAACTCACCCATGAACTTTGCAGAGGGAAAGGTAGTTGAGAACATGGTGTTATGCTTTTTTCTAGCAATATACTAGAAAATTATAAGATTGTTCACTTAAGAATTGCTTTCCATTTCATCCAAGCTTTTACGCCTTTGTTCACATCAGCTTCCCAAGTATATGCTTTTTGTCTTTTCATTTTTGGTCATTCTCGCCTCAGTTCTCTACTATCCTCTATTACCATAGGATGGTGTAAATACAGTTCTCAGACCAGTGGCGTAGCGTGGGGGGGTGCAGGGGGGGCCGGCCGCACTGGGCGCAACATCTGGGGTTAGGGCAAATCCATAGGTTAGGGGGCGCAAATCCACGGGTTAGGGGGCGCAAATTACTTGCCTTGCCCCGGGTGCTGACAACCCACGCTACGCCACTGTCTCAGACTACAATAAATTAAAACACAGGCCCAATTCAAACCTGCAGGGGGGAAACCCACATAATATAATTATCCTTCAGACCACCACAGGTAATGGGCTGCATATTTTTCAAAAAAAACATACCCTGCATACATTGGAGGCTAGCATGTCAAGGAGAAAGTTTTCAGACTAGCTTTCTTCCTGAGGTGCAGGATTTTGTTTGCTTCGTTAGGAGAGCATTCAAAAAAGCAAATCATCACCTACAGTTTAAAGTGGTAAAGCCCTAGGCAAATCATATTGTTTGCTTTCCTTGAAAATGTAAATCAAGTCCATGACATTCCTGTTCTTTACAAGACTATTATTTGGCTTAATTTGTATTCATGACTCCCGTCTGAGCCTTAAAATAATGATTCCTCCCCCCTTTAGTTCTTTAATGTACTAAGCATTTAAATCTCAAATCCAGTACGTGGCCCCATTTCTTTCGGTCTGTGCAAGCACATTATAAAGAAACAAATTTGTTCAAAACCATTTGGCCAACAGCACTCACCAGCCCGGATTTGCTTGGAGGTCACAATAAATATGCAGTTCAGCCGACATCAGAGCCACCAAAATGACAAGCAGGGGAGTTCTAGCCAAGAAGGAGCAAAGCTGGCTTCTTGCTTTCTCACATATTTTCCCCAGAAGCCGTTTAATCTAACAGATCCAACTTCTGTTTGAACGTAATCTGCAGTAAATTCAGGGGTGACCTGTAATTCATCTAACTTTAATTCCCAGCATTTCCTGAAGTGGGATATCTGATCATTTGAGGGATGAGGGGACAAGATGGTGCAACTTACGTTAGGCGCTAAAGAAATGGGGCAGAAGAACCACTCTGGCGGGAAGGTAAATGGCGTTTCCGTGGACTGCTCTGGTTCGC